AGAATTTCTAATTGAAATTCTTTTATTTTTAATTAGTTAATTGTTCATGTATTATTGTAATAATATCTTATTGAGATGTATCCAAGAAAAGCAAGGGAATGTTATCTTTTTTTGTTAATGAAAATTATTATTAAAGTAGGTTAGTTGTTAATAGATATATCAGTCAAGTTGGTTATCTGTGATGTTGTATTGTTCTTGGTATCTGATTTAAGTAAGAAGTGGTATATATCGCTTAGATTCTTAATGTCACTCTTAACATTGATGGAAAAATCGTTAAGGAAAATATAAGACATTTCAATGAACTCTCTTTTAGATTTATTGCTCTCACGGTGGAGAATTGTAGTGTTCACTAGTAGAAGACTACTTGTATAACAGTAAGAATAACTTGTAATCGTTTCGGCGCTTGCGTTCTATGAAAACAGAAGCTCACATTCAAACTTTACAACAATTAAAAATTTAGTTATTGCCGACAATTCAAAGAATTACTTCCTTTAAATGTAGTTACATTGGGTTTTTTCGATTGTCCTTGGGTAAATCTTTGCGTTTTAAGTTCAAAGCTACCATACATTTCCAACGTTCACAAATAAACTTTTTTGCACATAGTAACAAAAAAAAACACCACTATGTTGTTACTAGCTGAAGATTTTTTAACATCATAACTAGACATTTCTAAAATTTCACGGTAAGGTAAATGTTTTTTATTAGATAATATATGGTAGCTAATTATAATTTATTCTCTTTCAGCCCTGAAGAAGCCAAATTCTCTTTGGCGAAAACGTTAGGTGAAATAATTGATACACATTAGAGTTTTTTTTTTGCAGATTTCCCCAATGTTTAAGAGTTTACTATATATATATATATATATATATATATATATATATATATATATTATATATTATATAATATATATATATATATATATATATATATACAGATTGAACGAAATAAATTCGGAACATAGGAATATAATGTATTTCGGCTTAATTCTGCTGTAGCTGGTTGGCCAACAAAAGATTGTCAAATATTTATATTATAAAAAATCCCATACTTCAGCGTGCTGCTGGATTCTGAACTCATAAAAATTGAAAGCTACACATAAATCTACGATTATGCTGTCAAACCAGTTATAGTCCAGGAAATGTAGCATTTCACCTCACAATTTTTTCGTGCGGCGTGGATTGACTTGAAATTCAACATAAGGTAGGTAATAGCCTAAGGATCAAAATCTATATCGAACCAAAGTGCGCCAAAGCCTAGGGGGTGGTTGCCACCCCATCTCCGGGGTGAATATTTTTTTAACGTTTTAACTACAGGTTTCGATTAGAAAAGTGATTCTAAACAAAAAATGTGCTATACATTTTTTTTATAAAATGATATTTTTTAAGTTATTCGCGATTGAAAGTAACAACTTTTAGACGAAAAAATCCACGTTTTTAATCGATTTTTCGCGAATAACTCGAAAATGGTGCATTTTATCAAAAAAATTATAGAGAACAAATTTGTAGCTTTTAAAAAGACAAATACAATTACAAATACAATATCAATGTTCAGCGGTTTTCTTCAAATGCCAAATTTGAAACATTCAAAGTCAAATATCGGGAAAATGATGCATTTTTTTAAGAAAACTCACAAAACCTTTTTTAAAGAGCATAAATAGACCTATCATAAAAAAATAAGGTCAATACCTCATTTTTTACAAAAAATCGAGGAAAACAATACCCTAACCACCCCCATAATTAAAATCGATCTTCACCCTTCTGCAATTCCCTTTGTAGATGTACTGTTAATACGTCCAAGAAGTTTGACCCATTTAAAATGCTTAGTTTTAGAAAAAGTACAGCTTAAAACGAGAAACGATTTACAATTTCATATTTTTTACCCTTCTTTTTTTAAATATGCCCGAAAATACTGAATATATGAAAAAAATAAAAATTACCAAATTGTAGCTTTTTTAATGACTGAAAATTATCCTTTATTTAGATTTGTTGTACGATGAATATTTGGCGAGATATAGCCGTTTAAAGCATCGATTTACGATCAAGCACCATCTTTTTCGAGCCCTTTAAACTCACCCTATTTAAAAACCAAGGGTTCCAAAAAGATTTAATTCACAGATCCTTGTAGCTATTAAAAACCTCTACAAATCGTTTTTGAAGAAACATCTATCGTTAAAAATTAAAGGAAATACGTTAAAAAAACCAGTTAATTTTTTTCCGGAAAATTCCATTAGTATAGTACAGTACATTTCGGAGCATAATAATCTACAAAACCGGTATATTAGCTAGTGGGGCGTTATACATTCGAAATTTTAAGCGTTCTTATTTTGAAATCCCATACAACAGAATAAAACATCTGCTCATATGTCTATGGCTTGGCAATGAAAATATCAGAGCAACAGATTGGGGATGGTTTTCCAAAGATGGTTTGTTATTACCCGTACGCATGAACAAACAACCTGCACCCGATAAATTTTTGAAAATTATTTATTGCCAATGCAAAAAAGGATGCGGCGTTTCATATGGGTGCAGAAAAGTTGGTTTATACTGTAACTCTACTTGTTCTGGGTGCTCAGGTGAAGGGTGCAATAACAGTCCACCAATAATTGAGGAAGATGATGATGACATAGATCACGATGAAGATGTAATTGATGACGAATAAAATTAATATTATAATTGTTTTACCTATAAATGTAAATATTTTCAACTATTTATGTAAATGTATAAGAATATATGGTGCCTTTTTATGTTGATAATTTTTTTTGTATTTAATTCTACTTTTTTCAATTTATATCTTATAAATTAGTTTATAAAAACTGCAATGTTGTAAAGGGTGATTTTCAAAAGTTGAAAAGTTGCAAAATTTTGGCAAAAAATTGTTTTCACCTATAGCACTCATAACAATTGATTTTTAAGGGTTGAAAATGTATGAATTTGTATTTTAAAGTATAAAAAACTCACTATTTAACTAATCCAAACCAAATTTACTCATCTTAGGATTTGTAATATTATTTTACAATTTTTGAAAATTAGGGGTAGTTTTCACCCCTAAGAACAATCAGGGTTCATCTGCATGACATAAACTATAAAGCAGAGGGTGAGTTGAGCTTAATTCCAAATTTTTATGCAAGTCGTTTCAAGGTGAAATCATTTTCTTCGCATTACTAATTTTTTTATATTAATCTCTAATGAGGGTCACTTTTTAAGGGTTGAAATATGATGGAACTTTATTGAAAAGCACAAAACTATCATTATTTAATTAATTTCAAACCAAATTTTACCCATATTCAGGTTTAATATGTTATTTTATAATTTTTGACAATTAGGGGTAGTTTTCACCCCTAAGAACAATCAGGGTTCGTCGACATGACATAAACTATAAAGCAGCGGGTGAATTGAGCTTAAATCCAAATTTTTATCCAAATCGATCCAAGGCGAAATCATTTTTTTAGAATTAGTAATTTTTTACATTAATCTCTAACAAGAGTTGCTTTTTAAGGGTTGAAATATGATGGAACTCTATTCAAAAGTATAAAATAATCATTATTTAACTAATTCAAACCAAATCTTACCCATATTCAGGTTTAATATGTTATTTTATAATTTTTGACAATTAGGGGTAGTTTTCACCCCTAAAACCCTTCAGCGCACTTCGGTTCGATATAGATTTTGATCCTTGGGCTATCACCTACCTTCTGTTAAAATTTCAACTGGATACATGCAGGACGAAAAAATTGCGAGGTTTTAACTTTTTTCGAGCTTCATTTCCTGAACTATTATCGCTTCCTTAGACAAACCTCGTCTTACGCAAACAACATTGTTGCGAGACAGATAGTTGAACGATATTTTATACAATGTCTATACCCAGGTATGGATTTATTTTTGTCCAAGTTTTATATTGGTCCACTATTTCAAATGCAGTTCAAACAGACATGTATTAAATTGTATGTTCCGTTTTAATTTGGTTCAATCTGTATATATATATGTACATATATTTGGGCAACGAAATTAAAATAAGTAAGGAAAATCAAACAGCCGAAGTATCCTGAAGAATAATACAAGTATGGGCAGCATACGGAGCTCTTAGGAACGTTTTTAAGAGTGACATCCCAACTAATATGAAGAAAAAAGTTTTCGACCAATGCGTGCTACCGGTGATGATCTATGGTGCAGAAACATTATCGCTCACAAAGAAAAACGCACAAAAACTAAGAGTAGCGCAGAGACGAATGGAGCGATCAATGATAGGGACCACTCTACGAGACAGGATTAGAAACGAAGATCTATGAGCTAAGACCAAAGTCATAGACGTCATTAAAAGAAGCTGTAACTCAAAATGGAAATGGGCTGGACTTGTTGCCAGAATGAAGGACAACAAAAAATTGGATACAGCAAGCACAAGATAAAACACTTTAGAGACAAACAGGGGAGGCCTATGTCTAGCAGTGGATTGAGAGAGGCTGATAATGTTATGTTTGGGTTTAGGGGACTAAAAATAACATTTTTTTAAATTCTGGAATATCGCTATCTTAACCAGCTAGATTTTTTGGCTCTTTCATAACTGTTTATTTCAAAGCAGACTGCAAAACTGCTAAACAAAAAATTAATCCAATTTTTTCAAGAAGATTTTCCAATGAACGATTTTTCTCAAAAATGGACAAAAAAAATGTAAACTAATAGAATTTAGAAATTGATTAGTCGTCGACTAAAAACATAGTTATGATTGCTATAATCCTAAAGGAGATAAATATGTACAACATTGGTTTGACTATAAGTTAAACAATCTAATAACAAATATTGAAGTAATTCACTACTTCCGTACATTATATCAGGGACTTCAAGAATGACAAGGAACTGCAAATCAGAAGTTTAAAAATATGTGATTATCGATAATAGTACACTTAACAGAGTGAAGGATAACATGAATGGCTGTCTGTTTAATCCATAATAAATCTTGATAACCGTTTAATGAAAAATCATGTTTTCATCTGTTTTATTACTTACCAAGAACAACAAATTCTTCATGTTTATTTTTTTGTCTCCCACACAGTACACTTAGTAGTAAAAAATTCTCACTAAAAAGTATAAACACCGAATTATTCTTCACTATTTAGCATTTTCGTAATCATCATCTATATATAAGTTGGAATCCGCGATGATGCTTTCCCCTTCTCTTCGTGGATTCATCATAAGGATACCATATCCTGCACCGAATTTTTCTTGAAATATATTTTACAATTAAGAAAACAGAATGTTCGATTGACATATTACGCAAATAACAAGATGTAATGAATGAACTCTTGGGATTTTATTCGAACAATAAATTATAGAAGGATGAATTAATATATATTTTTTTAAAATGTCATTATTTTCTTTGACGCGGTCATTTTGTATAAATTGTGTACAATTAAATATATATAAATAAATAAATCTAAATTATACACTAAAATCGACGGCAAAGTGGCGTTGGTGAATAAATATCGTTTTAATTTTCGGCTGTAAGAAAACTCGGAAAACGAGACTTACAACGAAAAGTAACTCGGTAGAAGTGACCGATAAACACCGATAAGGGTCGGAGATTCGACGGGTTGACTGGTTGACGACTCTTTTCACGGTGTAGAACGGGGAAGGAGATAAACAGCGAAATAACAAGAAAAGTCCAAAGGAAAATATTGTAAGAATGGACAGCGACGAATACTCTACAGATGAAGGAAGAAAAAGAAAAGGAGAAAATATAGATTTTTTTGTAAACAGCAAAAAAACACCAAGAACTCCTACAAAACGCCACACAACTGAATCTGAGAAATTAGACCAGTTATTAATAATGATTAAAGAAATAAACACAACTCAAAAATATATGAAGCAAGAACAGAAAGAAATAAAATCTGAAATAAGAGAAATTAGAGAACAACAAAACAAAACAAACGAAGCTCTACTAAAACTGACAGTCGAAAACGAACAATTAAAAAAGAAAATCAGGATATAAGAAAAGAGAATTGAGAAATAAGGAGAGAGTTACAAGAAATGAAAAAAGCAGTCGAAATAATTGCAAAAATTGGAAGAAAAAACAACATTGTAATGAATGGCCTAAAAATGGATACAAATGAACCAAGCATTCTAAAAGAAAGAACAAAAGGATTTTTTAATAAACATCTTCAAATTGATATTAAACATTCAACAGTTAAAAAAATAGGCGAGAATACATGCGTAATAGAACTAAGAAATGGAGAGCAAAAACACGAGATCATGGCAAAAAAATATAAACTAAAAAACGTTGTAGGAGAGAATCAATGATGACTTGACTAGAGAAAAGAAAGAAAAGCAGAAACACCTGCTTTCGTTTTGCAAAAAAACGAAAAAGAGAAAGGCAAAGACGTCAAAATTGGTTACAACAAGGTGTTAGTAAACCAAGAAGAGTAGAGATGGAACAAAATAAAAAAAAACAAACATCAAAAAATTAAAAAATTAAATCCACAAGAGGAATATTGATAACGACCAAAGCAACGAAAAGGATCTGACAATGACGACTAGGGCGACGAATAGGAATACCGATAGCAAGAAGCACGATGCAAAGGTAAACAAGGATGAAAATAGGAAGAAGATGAAAGATATACCGCAGAAAAAAAAAGAGATAAAAATGGGAACATGGATTGTAGGAAGCATCAATGGAAAAGAGGTAGAATTTGTAGAAGAAATGATCAGACAAAAAATAGCAATATTAGAAATAAAGAAACGAAAATGAAAGCAAGAAGTTTTAAGAAGATACACAAAGGATATTGGTTATTTTAGGTAAGAGCAAACGGAAGAGCAAAAGAAGGCGTAGGGATAATAATTGCACCGAATAGACTACAATACGTTATAGAAGAAACATATGTTAACCAGAGAATATTATGGCTGAAAATTAAACTGATAGACGAGGAAATATGGAAAAAAATAACAGCCTACGGAGTAAATGAAGATGCAAAAAAGGAAGAGAAGGATAAATTTTTCGAGGAGCCCCAAATGCAAATTGACAATGGGGAAGAAAACATAATTGTAATGGGAGACCTAAACGGTAGAGTCGAAAATAATAACAATGGAATTGGGGAATGTATGGGAAAAGAAGGAGAAGAAATACTAAACAAAAATGGTGAAAGAATAACTTAAATATGTATGGAAAATAAACCTGTTATAACAAATACAAAACTTAAACATAAAAAAGTACACAATTACACGAGAATGCAAGAAAGCAGAAATGAAAAATCAATCATACGTTACTTTTTGGTAAGTAGCAAAAAATGGAAAAGAGTACAAGACACGAAAGTGAAAAGAGGCTCAGAGATCGGCAGTGATCATCATCTAGTAATAATGAGAATGAGCAAAAGCAAATCAAAAGCAATGAGCAAAAGAAAAGGAAGAAAAGAGGAGAAAGGTAGTAAATGAAAAAGTAAAAAGCTACAAATTAAAAGAAGACAGATATAAGAAGATATTCCAAAAAAAATTAGACAATATTTTGAAAGGTAGGACAAAAACTGCAAGTATAGAAGAGAAGTGGGAAAATCTCAAGACCAACTTAATCATAGCTGCTGAGAAAACTTGCGGGAAAACAAAATTAGCAAATACTAGCATGATGAGAACTGAATGGTGGACGGATGAAATACGAAGGAAAATAAAGAACAAACAAGAAAAATGGAAAAATATCGAAGTGGAAAGCGCCCTAAAAACTATGAGGCATATAAAGAAAAAAGAAAAGAGGTAAAAATAGCTGTAAAAGTAGAAAAAGAGAAGTCATGACGTGAAAAGTTTGGACTAAAAATGACAAATAATTATAGGGAAAATCAAAAACTCTTCTACGGCGCATTAAAACAGCTCAAACAAACAAGAAAAATGGAAAAATATCGAAGTGGAAAGCGCCCTAAAAACTATGAGGCATATAAAGAAAAAAGAAAAGAGGTAAAAATAGCTGTAAAAGTAGAAAAAGAGAAGTCATGACGTGAAAAGTTTGGACTAAAAATGACAAATAATTATAGGGAAAATCAAAAACTCTTCTACGGCGCATTAAAACAGCTCAGACAAAAGAAAGAACACATAATGCCGAATATAAAAGACAATAATGGAAAGGTAATAACAGAAGAAAACCAAATAATGGAAAGATGGAGAGAACTTTTCAAAGAGCTAACTCATACAGACTTAGACAACATAGTGGAGATACAAGAAATAAATGAAGAACAAAAAGTAGAACCCATAACAACAGATAAACTAGAAGAGGCAATTGAATGAGTTAAATTAGGCAAATCACCAGGCAAGGATCATATCACCCCGTGAAATGATAAAATTCACGGGAATAGAGGGAGTGGACAGCATGAAAGATCTAATGAATGATATCATAAAGAGAGCAGAAATACCACAGGACTGGAAGAAAGACATTATACTACCAATACACAAAAAAGGACGACAAGAGAAACTGTAATAATTACCGAGGTATTACTATGTCAAGAATTCCTGGGAAGGTATTCGCAAGAATAAGAGAAACAAGAATAAAAACGCAAATAGAACCAACTATGGAAGATACACAATGTGGATTCAGGAAGGACAGAAGCACACAAGACCACATATTCACAATAAGACAAGTAAGTGAGAAAGTAATCAATAAAAAAAGAGAAATACATATATGCTTTATTGATCTGGAAAAGGCGTTTGACAAAATCCAAAGAAGAGACGTATGGAGGAAATAAAAAGAAAGATGAGTTGACAGGATAACAATTGATGTAATAAAGGATATGTACAATAATAATACAAATACGGTGAGAACCAATAACAAGGAATCCGAAGAATTTACAACAAGTCAAGGCGTCAAACAGAGATGCGTGTTGAGCCCACTACTGTTCTCAGTGGTACTGGATGAAGCAATAACGAAAGCCAAGAGAAGAATGAAAAAACTAACATTAGGATACTGGCAAATGAAACAGACTCAACTATCAGAGCTTCTATTTGCAGACGACATGGTTTTAATAGCAGAAAATAGAGAAGACTTACAGAACAACCTTGAAATCCTAGAAGAAGAACTGACAAACATAAATATGAATATAAATACAGAGAAAACAAAAACAATGAAAATTTCAAATTAGAGAAATACACACGCAATACAATTAAACGGAAAACAACTAGAACAAGTGGAACATTTTAAATACCTAGGAGTAATAATTGAATCAAACGGTAAACAAGACATGGAAATAAATGAGAGAATGAGACGAACAGGAAGCTTATTTAACACTATGAAAACAACATTTTTAGGGAAAAAAGAAATACCGGAGAAGTAAAAACTGCAGTCGTTAAATCAGTAGTTAGACCTACAATTATGTATAATAGCGATTCATGGAAATTGACTGGGAGACAAAAATCTCGAGTCAACGCTATGAAAATAAGGTTCCTGAGGAAAATGGCAAATAGAAAGACGACAGACAAAATAAGAAATGAAACAATCAGACAAAACCTAAAACTAGAACCAATAAACGAAAAAATAGTAGAGGGCCAATAAGATGGTTTGGGCACGTGTGTAGAATGCCGAATAAAATAATATCAAAACGAGTGTTTGAAACGAGAGTGCAAGGGAAAAACAAACGAGGAAGACCAAGAGTTAGGTGGGTAGACGAAATCAGAAAAGAAGTTGAGAAGAAAGATTGACATGGGAAAATGCACGACATCTTACACAAGACCGAAAAGCATGGTGACAACAGTGCAAAACTTAACTCCACCAGCCTTACACCTAACGGTAGAAAAGCTTAGGACTAAGTAAAGTAAGTAAGTAAATAAATCTAAATTGACGTGTTTTAGTCCGAGATCCCTGCCCATTTTCACTGGTGATTTTTACCCTTTATTATTAACAAGCTAATTTTTCGTGAGAAGTTTCATTTTGACAAGACGCCCAACTTTTGCCCTTACAACAATTTGCATTTGTGATAATTAACAGGGGTAGCAGGGATGAAATATGTCGAAAAAATTTTTGTCCTACAAAATGTAACATTTTATTAAAGAATAAATAACAATCAGAATGTTCACTCTTAGATGACACCTTTCACATAATGCACAACCCAACAAGAAGCGAAACGAAGGGATTTTTAGCAA